TCAGGTTCATTAAAAACAATTTTAGAGATATTCTGTTTGGAACAAAACATTCATTGATATAGTTGTCTTTTGAAATCACTGTTTCTTTCTTTTGTTTTTTTTTTTTTGAATTTTCAATAATATACAAGATTACAGAAAACACAAAATTATATAAAATTGATAACAAAATAAAAATGAACTTTATGATCACATATGTTATGGCTTTTATGGTATGTCCCATTGTTTTTACTCTGGGGCTATCAAATAAAGACTGCCACACAATTAGTATATATAGGGTGTATCAGTACAGTGGTTACAAACTTTCAGGAGAGATAAAATACTCCTAGACGATGGGAAATCACATAGCAATGCATGGTTGGAAACGCTTTCCTGGTGCGGTAGTGACGACACAAAACACAAGAAAAGAAGGACACAAACAGGGTGAGAAAACATGTTTATTATTTTTAGTACAGCAAAAATCAAAGGTGTTTGAAATTATGACCCTGGGCCATGATACAGACCTCACATCTCCAGCCAAAGACATCCCAGCATTTTTGCTGTACTAAGAATAATAAACATGTTTTCTTGATGTAAGTTTTTGTCTATTGTGCAACCTGTCTGTTTTGTGTGATAGTACCATGGTGAGTGTCTATGTTTAAGACATATAGAGGCATCATGTTCTTTTAATCTTTTACCTAGGGTTCTGCCTGTCTCTCCTAAGTAATAATAATGGGTTTGCATGTGTATAGTAAACTATAAATGATACTTGCATAATCTGTTTTTTTCTTTTTTGGCTACTACTTATAAAATACTGCCAGAAACTCATAATTTACATGTTAATTTTATTGTATTAGTTCATACTTATATTTAGTAGTATTTCTGAGTTTATTTTTATTTTATTCTTTGTTTTTATTATATATATTTTTTATACATTACTAGTATATTATCTTTTTAATCCATTGTCAGTTTTTTTTTTTTTTTTGAAATTTGAATATTTGTATTTGATCTTGTGGAACGAAATCTTCCAATAGTCCGTTTTCAACCTGACAATGGCCTATGGAATAGGTTGAAAACGTTTGTTTTAATTAAACTTTCTTGGCAACAATAAAGGTGTTTGATTATTAATTATTAGTCATTAAGAACAAAACATTTGAAAGAATATTAAACATGATAAGTCCAATATTTGTCAAGTTGACAAATTTAAGAAGTACGACAATTGAATAAAAAGACAAGAAGCTCTGAACACATTTTTATATTATTCCTTGAAGAATATAAAATAGAAATGTAATAAAACAGAAATATAAAATAAAGGCATTTTATAAAACTATATTTGATATTTTATATTTTAGTTATGGTCTGTGATGCATACAAATATAACATTCTACTTTATACAGGCTTATATATAATGCTGTGTTTAGAAAGTATAATCTTCCAACTCAAAGTTCTCTGACACTTCAGTTGGAAAATGCATTCATCCAGAAACTGAGGTAGATTTCATTAGTAAATCAACCTTGCATACTTCCTGCTTTGAAATAGCACTCAAGATTGCCTCATTGTCATTAAAAATTATCTGATTAACAAATTTTTTAAAACACTATCTAGGAGATTTATTTGTTTGGAGTTGTCATTTTAATAAAACAATTAGTTTTTGAAATCTAAAATTTTTTAAATGTTAATTTTTAGATTTTTAGTTCATTAGAAAATTAATTTTTAAATATTAAATTTAATATATTAAATNAAATTAATTCTTTAAAAATATATTTAGATATTAAAATGTTTTGAATTGATTCTATATTTTAATTTTATGGAAATAAAAATTGTATCTATAATTTTTTTTAATGTGTGAAAGTAGTTTATTATTTAGTTATGTGATCACTTAATTTTATTTTATTTTATCAACATCAAATAGTTTATAAAACTTTGCTAATGAGAGAGAAAATTTTATTTGTTGTTAGTCTAAAAATTTTATTGCTTTGCTCATAAGCTTAATTTATGTGCTTGGAAAAAGCAATTAAAATTGATCTGTGGATATCAGCAATTACTCACCTTGTTTCCTGTATTTTGATGAATCATCAAAACTATTATTTGTTTGGTGAATATAAATACTAGATATCAGCTATTTTTTAAGCTGTAAGAAATCTTTTCATTCTTGTATATATATATTTAATCACAGCTTATTGTTTAATTGGCAACTTTCTGCTCTTGATTTTGATGCAGTATAATTTAGATATATAAATCTAAATTTTTTATTAAAGTTAATTTTAGTTTTCTAATTTTCATTGTTTTAACATTAGTAAATAATCAAGAACTAAACACCAGTGTGTTTTTTTTTTCATTGATAATTTTTCATTTATAATTTAATTTAATTTAGAATATAAATTGGTCCAGAGTATAGTTATCATTTTCTACATACAGTAGAATCCTGATTATCTCAGGTAACGTATGCTGATGCTACTTCAGATAACTAAAAGCTTTGATAAAATGACTGAACATGGCTATTTTGGATAAAAATTATAAATATAAAATATTTATATAGTATATTACTTTTAAGCCTTTTTTATACTTTAGGGGGCTGTCCATAAACGACATCCACACTGAAATGGGTGGCAGGGTTAAGACAAGTTGGACAAAGTCAGACAAGGGAAAGGTTGAACTTCAATCGACATCCATTTATTTATTAAATTTTACAGTTTATGCATTTTACAGTCAAACTTTCATATTATGAACTTCTATGTAGCAAATTTCTCTGTATAATGAATTTTTGGTCTGTATGGATACACTACTCTTTCAATCAAAAATATATGCAAAATTGCTTCTAAATAATGAAGTTAAATTTCTATATAATAAATGCTTTTTTACTTTTATAGCACCCATTGGCAATGTGCCAATTCAGGCTGACAGGGTGCAAGCAAAACAGAGCCAAAAGTAAACTCTGAACTACTCACTCTCTCTTTGATCAGTGACTACAGAGGACAGACTTACCAATGTGAACGTAAACAGACTTTTGACTATACGTTCTGATATCGAAGTGTAACAAACAATGTACATATATTGTAAATAGAAAATATTTTTAAAAACCGACGCTGACATTCTTCTTTGTCATCGAATCAAGTGGTGTGACATTATTGATTGGTGACCGAACACCAAACTTTGTAAGGACTATTGATCATTAAAAGTCTATTACTCCATCAGGTTTTAGTTCAAATTTAGATTCAATTTTGGGTATCTGTCTATAAATGCTTTGTGAAACTGCAGCCCTGGTTTGAGAAGTACTAGTTGTTAGCTTTTACAACCATCACGTAATCTTCTCCCATGTGGCTATTGGTTGTGAAGAACGGGGAGAGAGAGATTATCTGACAAGAACATTTGGACCTAAACGATTTACAATTAATGAATTATAGTATTTATGTATTAAAATAAATAAATTTAATATTGCATTATAAGTATTTCTTGTTAACCATAAGTTATAGTGTTACTATGTTTTTATTGAAAAAAATTACTGTACTGTGTAAATTTTTGGACAACCTGGAATGCATTTCTATTCACTTCATAATAAAGTAGTGTACTGTATATTATAATGAATTAATTTTGTGCTGATTTCATTTATGACACTTTCTCTGGGAACACATCTTCATCATAAAATCAGGCAGCCTGTACAATGAATATTGATATTAGTGACTTTTTTATTGTTACAGTACAGTATTTAACTGAGAAAGTAGTCTTACTTGTGCAAGTGACTGAAATGAGTCATACCAAAATCATTTTACAGCAATGGTATTCAAACATTTTAACAGTGCGACACCAAGGTAATTTTCTGTGACCCCAAATGGGGTTGCGACCCATAGATTGAATACCACTGTTTTACAGTATTGAATACTATGTTAAGTTCAAAAGACCTTTCCTAAATTTGTTCTCAGAAACATTAGAAACTGAAATGCAACTTTTCAATTTTATTTTAACTTCAGGTTTGAGAGTGGATGGTTCTATACTGTAATACAAAAAAATATCAAAGTGAAAGTGTTTAAGCATTACTAAAAAAAATTAATATATTGTAAGAAGTTGATAAACATAACCATTAGAACAAGTATGTTCTAATGGTTATGTTCCTACAAGTTAAAAATATTTAAATTCAAATGTTTAGCATTCAAATTATAATGATCTGATGCAGATCCTAAAGGGATCGAAAAAGTTTTCAATGTATTCAAATTAAATTATTTTTGCTGGTATGGTTTAAATGTTTTAGTGGAGTTATTTAGAAGTTATGTACTTTTTCACACTTTTTAGATATAACGTATGTGTAAAGATGCACTTTGTACTATGATTATTTCATTAATAGTAATGCCTTGCTTTTGTTTGCTTTCAGTAATACTACATTGTTGTGATGAAGCCATTCTTTGCTAACTCTGGTATTCCTCCATACAGTTCTATCTGGTAGATCTTAAGTCTTAGTTTAGGTAGTATAAATTCACATACTTTTGGTAATTGTATCTTATAAATGGACATGGGGAACACTTTGTTGAGTCTTCATTCCAGTAGAAAGTCTATCTTGTTCTTGTTAAGGCTAGCAGCATTCTTTTTGTATAACTTGGTCAGGATTGCCTTATATCAATTTAAAGGTAGCACAGCTGGAACCAAGTTCAAACATAAAATAATTATATCTTTTAGTACTTTCTAGCAGAAATATTCTTGTTGACAAATGTTTTTGACTTTCTTTATAAGCCTTCCTCAGGTCTGTCAGTAATTCTCCAGTAGAATGTTCTAAAATGGAATGCTGGGCAGTACCAAATATTTAAAATTTAAAAGATGGAATAATCAGGCTATATGGGACTGTGTATTTTACATAAAGCCTTCATTTTTATCATAACCCATAAATAGGCATGGAAGATATTTTAATTAAACATGTTCAGAGCATTTTCTTAAATCCCTAGTGGTTTTGAAGTGTTTTAAAATTGAAATTGTAACTTCTGGTTTAAAAGTAATAATGTAATTATAGTGATAGTGATAAGCTTTTTATTTTTCAGAGGCAGTATGTCAAGAGAAAATACAGGAATGCGTGTTCGTACATTACCTGTCAGTGTACCTGACAGGGTAGCGCAGATATATTATCGTCATGGTGTGTTTTGTGCTAGTCATCCTTATGCAATTATGCTTTTAACTATTTTAATTTTGGCTGTATGCTGGTAAGAAAATTACTATTCACTTAGGAAACATATAAATATATCAATAAAACATTTATCTAATGTTTTGTTTTTCTTATTTTATCATAAAGTTATCCTGTTATTTATCTTCCTCTTTTGGGAAGTTCATCTCAAGAATACTCTACTCCTGTACAGAATTTTGCATCAATGAATATCAATGGTGGGGATAATTTTCCAGATCAAGGACCACGGTGGGTGAGTGGACAATCTACACATAGTAATTATATGTAAATTATACTAATTACATATGCATTGTCAACTGTTTGTTAATAGCAGTTTTTATATTTTTATTTGAACATATTTCCTGTTACATAAATAAGAAAACCAGAATTATAGCAGTTGTTTATTATTATTATAGTTATCAAACAGTTTATTTAATCAGAAACATTTTCAACCATGTCTTTGGTCATCTTCAGCTTACTGAATAAAAAGAATAAAATTGTTTTAAATGATACTCTTGTGAGCTTGCGGATTTTTACGGGCATTTTAAAATTAAAATTTTCTGTTAATTGTCTTTGGAGAAAACCCAAAGAATTTGAACTAGATCGGATTTCACTGATTGTATAACAGCTAGCTGGGAAAATTTACAGTTAGGTGTGAAGAATGCACCGTCATCGTCAACAAAAGTCAATCACGTGACAGTTTTCCCACACTAATGATATAAAAGCACGAATCTCCGGAAGCTCAGGGCAATTCATCATAGGAAGTTATACTTTGTGATAGTGCCCACCTCGACTCCCGAATTTCCATACAGCGGACTTGATCCAGCTACAGAGAGAGGACATTGGCAAGAAGACACCGAGGACTCCTACCTCTTCCATATAGACGATTGCGCCAACTCTCCCTGAGAGGTATTTAGGGGTTAGAATTTGTAAAAGTGCTCTCTCTCGAACTAGAAATTAGGTCAGCGACATAGCTACGAAATTCGTCGCCAATTTCTGTAAATATTTTAATATAACTGCATTTAACCTTATTAGTAAGTTTGCCTCTTGTAGTTTAGATTTGTTGATTCAATAAATGCTTTGTTATTTTGTTAACCTGTCTCCTGTCAATTGAGGACGCCTGCCGACTTACTGACACACTCTCCACTCAATTTGCCCTCCTAGCCATCCAGCGACCCCAAGATCGGGTTTTACCAGCCTGTGCAGAGTAAGTGGTCAGTTGGGAATTTACCCGTGGCCCACTGCTTATCTCACACTCTTTTGTCATTATAATTATTTTAATATTAAAAAATAGTTAATGCAACATTGAAAGTACACAGTTAGTGTCTTTTCATGCTAAATAAAACATATTAAGAATATAGTTATGAATGTTAGCATAATTTAAAATATAACATATATTTAAAATTATTAGTTTTAAAAACAAACATAAATAAAAAAGAGTACAGTCAACCCCCCTTAAATACATGAGCCAATCGCAGCCCGGCATGTATGCAGTTACGGACTATGGCTGTTTGAAAAGTTTTCTTCCATAAAATTAATCGATTCTAGACTAATTTGACTCAACATTTCCAAAATACTTATAATTTTTTGGGAATAATCTATATAAACTATGCTATAAACAAAAATTGTAGGATTACTTACCAAGTGTGCATCATTTGACGATGCCATTGCTTAAGCTTGTTTTCATCATGGAGCGGGCATCGAACAGCAAGTGCATGTTTCCTGATAAATTATTTTTCTGCGAAAAATTTGCTGAACTTTGGAGACATCATTAATATAAATATAATTTTTATGGATGTTAAATAATAAATGGTTTTTAGTAGGTCCGCTGCGCGTTTAAACTCAATGGTTTGTGCAATATCTGCTATTGGTCTAGATTCCATCAATCCTGTCATGACACAAGTTGGCGATGATGTTTTACCGCATTTTACGAGTTTCTTTTAGTGTCTTTATACGAATACGGTTGCAATTTTTTTGCCGCGATATACGAATCTGCATTATATGAACCCATTTTATAGGGGGGTCTACTGTATAATGATGTAGTTAAATCCTATATGATGTAATAATAAGATATGAGCAGGTTGTTAATTTAAAAGAAAGTTTATCTATGTCATTATACCTTTTTTGATTTATGTTTGTTTTTTATGACTTAAAATTTTAAATGTGTGTTCTATTTTAGATTATGCTAACATTTCATTTAAATTGTAACTGTATTCTTAATATGTTCTATATAGCTTGAGGAAGACATTAAAGCAACATTGAAAGTACTGACTTAACTATTTTTTAATATTAAAATAATTGTAATGCCAAAAGACAGTAACCCTAATAATTAAATAATTTTTGGCATGGAATGTATATATTTTTTATAAAACTGTTTTAAACTTCAAATACACAAATTTAAATTAGGAAAAATAAAATAAAAATAAACAAATAAAATCAAATAAAAGCTGAATATGACTAATGACATGGCTGAAAATATTTCTGATTAAATAAGCTGTTTGCTAACCCAAATAACAATAAACTGCTAAAAGCAGTTTATTGTTATTGTTTTAATGGTTGATTCATGTTAACTATAAATTTTCTTAATAATTATTCATTATTGTATACATACCACTCAGAATATTTTCATATTACATTATGTTACATCATGTTACATCAAGAGAAATACAAATGCTATCAACAAATACTTAATAAACTGTTGGTGAGTATCATGACACTTTCCTAGGGACATTCCATATGATGTCTAGAATTTTGTTTATATAACTACATTCTTGTAATTCATATCTCATCCCCCGTCGTTTTTGGTATGTGTAATATATACAGCTTAGATTAAACTCTGTGTTCAAACCAAGCAGTTGTTTTTTTCACTTTACTCTACTGTCACACCCTTCTTTTATCACAACATAAACTTACATCAAAAAGGTTTTTTTTTCATTAAAATTTGTTGCTTAAGATTTTTATATCTGGCATTCCCTCCAGTTTCTAAAATAGTTTCATTGCAATGCTGTCAATATAAAGATAAGCATCAAAGCTTCTTTATTGAATAAAATGTTTTTCGGACTTCTTCATTTTATCAGATCAAAAACTGTGATGAAATCTGATAATGGGACAGAGAAGTCCCTAAAAACATTATCAAATAAAGAAGCTTTGATGCTTATCTTTAATTAAACAGCATTGCAATGAAACTATTGAACTACTTCTCTCTGTCTTCTACTATCTCTTCCTCTTAAGTATGTGAGGTGCCAATGTCCTCTTCTTGCTTCTGGACATGCATCAGGTATGGAGGTTCAAGCACTGGATGTTCATGTTCTGCAATCCTTCTGGCTGGTGCAGTATGCCAGGTGGGTCTCCTTGACTGCTGCAACCAACTTTTTTTTTTTTTTGTTGAGTAGTGGCTATGTACTGTACCTCATTATTAGGCTAGGTTTCCTGGGATGATTGGCAACAACAGTTCAGCTATTGGGTTGCTGTCTGCAGTTGGCACTGGGTGTTTTCATCTTACTTTCCATGGCCTTAAACCACCTGTGGGCACCTGAGAGGATATGGCGTTAGGGGCTGCTGCACCTAACCTTGCAATTTTTCTATGTTCTTCTGCATATTATCCTACCATTCTTTCTTCTTAAGCTGGTATTGCCAAGGTTCTCTTTGTTCTCACTAGCCTTTGGCCAGCACCTCAGTAGGAAACATGTAGCTTGTACAAAATAGGATAAATAGGTTAATCCTGGCACCTATTTTATAATTCAGATTTTAAATTTTAAAGTATAAATTGTCTTAGCTTTAAATATTAGCTATAAGTTTACTTTATGTATCTGGTGGCTGGCTCCAGTGTTTACCCCATAGCTATTGCTTTAACACTTGACCCCTTTTACTTAATTGCTCCTCTTTTTCTCACTTACCAGTGTAGATAGTGGAGTACCTTACTGTACTAGTAGTTGGCATTTCTGGCCTGGCCAATGGTCTGGCTATGTGGTGTTTTTTGGGTTTCTTCCATATGTTATTACCTGAATAGGGGCCAGCTTTCCTAAAAAGACCTCCCCAAAGGCAAAAATCTAGCCATAAACTATAAAATTGTAGCCAGCTACTCTCTTTCAAAATTCTATTATTCCAATTTGCTGGAGTTGGTTGTCAGTGGTTTCTCCACTGTTGCAGTAATTTTACTGTGACTCTGAACTAACCAAAAGAATTTCATCATGGTTTTTGTTAGAATAGGTCCTAACACTTGCCATTCACTTCATTTTATTTAGCTGAACTTTAAAAATAATTTTTGCTATATAACACTTTATGTGCACAGCACACAAATTAACTACACACAGTTGACACAAAATACTAAGCAATTACAACATGCAACTACAATTTCCACATTGCTGACCAGAGATAACAGCAAAGATAATGTGTGTTTATTAAAGGCCACTAATTTTGAACCTCAGATAGAAAAATGATCATCAGCTAAACAACAGAATATTTTTCATTAAACGGAATAAGCTACTTGTTTCTGTTATAATGAATTATTATTATTTTTTCACTTATATGAATTATTGCTATTTTTCTGATTCTGTTGCAGTTTGAAAAATAAAATCCATCTAATAAACAAAGAGTTAATTATAAATCCACAGCACTAATTTTAATTCTTTGCAGTTATTTTGGAATGTAACACAAACGTTTTTGTTCACCTTAGGATTGCCCTTTTCTAGTGTGATTAGTGTTCCATTCAGTTTCTGATGTGTTCTAATTTTGAATACTTCTATTTACAAATTTCCTTTTTAAAATTTTAAATTCCTAACAATGTGCTCCTGCATTGGCTGTTATAATTGCCAGGTCATACATAGTCTGTCATGCCCTCAAAAGTTGCTTTTCATCCTTCAAATTGACTGAAAGGCCCTGGCATTCCACTTTAAAAACTCTAATGTCTCTAAAAATGCTGCAAAGCATTATAAGGTTAGTGCAGTGTATTTACAATTTGAAAAAATTGTAGACCTATAAATTTCCACTGTTGTTTGTCTGTCCTTCCTTAATCACAAAAATGGAGTTAGATAGATGAAAGATGAGACCAGATATGGAAGCCTATATATGAACTTTCAATGCAAATCAAAAGTCATGTTATTTCAATTCAAAAATTTTCTTCTGAAAAGTTTTAGATAGATGACTGGCATGACTCTATTGTTAAAGGAAAAGTATGATGTACCAGGGTAAGTCACTACTTATTTAGGTGGAGAGCATATATTTTAAATGAAATAAATGAAAAATATGATTAAA